TACCGGCACTTGTTCAGGGCCCTCGGGTTCAGGACAAACCAGCGCAAGGATGGAAACGGTTTCTTCCACACCCATGACAGAAGCTGGAAAGGAAACATCTACCAAGACATAACCTTTGTATGGGTAACTGGCTGCACTAAGACCCCAAATAGATAGGCCAGAAAGAGGCTGAATGGGTACAGATGACAGATTTTTAGAGTGCCATGACTCAAAGATGATAGTGACCTGAGATCCACTATCTAATAAGGCTTCACAGGGCTGCCCATTGATCTTCATAGCAATTGTCAGAGCTGGACCCACCAACCCTGCAGGAAGACTACTTTTTCCAACCACAACTGTCTGGCTCTTCCGGGAGAAACTGGTTTTATCCCCAGTGTGTTTACCACTCTGATCCATCCTTTCACTTTTGGCCCTTCGTAATGATCGCACAAGCTTCTGTATCACCAGGCTGTAATTCTCAGTAGCTTTGCACCTTGGAGCGATGTGGCCATCTTCCCCACATTTGTAACAGAAGTAATCTTCTTTAATCATTTCTAGTCTGGGTTTCACAGATGTAATAGCCTGCTCTGGTGGTTGTGTTTCTTTTGATGACTGTGACGACTGTCTGACACTCAGTGAAGCCAGCTGCTCTTCTAGTCTTTGTATCTGCCTCCTTAGTGCGTGTACTTCCAGGTCTGCTGGTGTGTCACCTCCTCTCCTACTTGGTACAGGCTTTGACTCCCACATTATCTCCGACACAGGTACTTTAGAAGGACCCTCTGTTACTTTTGTCCGCAGCTCTTGAATCTCAGCCTTCAGTTCTCTCACTGCAGCCAAACCAGCTAGTTTCTGTCGTGGTCAAGGGATGGGTTTTGCAGTGGAACCCAGACTATGTCTGGCAGCTTCACTTTCTTCAGCCTCCCTGATCTCATTCAAGAGAGCTAAAAAAGTAGGTGGATTCTCTCGTCTCTCTCTCAATCGCAACTGAAGCAACAACAAGTCAGATTCAACAGTTCCTCGAATTAGTTGCTCAATTCTTGTTCTGTCGACATTGTTCCCAGGCAACCAACCTTTTTGCGCTACCCTTGTCAAAGATTTTTCCATTCTCTTCAAGAAATCAGAAAGTGCTTCATCAGGATTCTGCCTCAACAACCTGAAAGCAAAATATAAATCTTCTCCTGCTTCAGGAGTTCCAAAAGCACCCTCCAAAGCCTCAAGATACTGAAAGGAAGTTGCATCTGGATTAGCAAATCTGATAGCCTTCACAACATCCAGGGCTGAACCCTTTAGGCTTTCAATGATACATTGACGCTTCTCTTTCTCTGAGCATTCACACTCCATGACCATCATTCTGGCTTGATCCATCCAGGCCTCCAAGGCTTCTTCCCCTGTTGGAGTAGGAACAGTACCTGAAAAGGTTCTCAAGCGTCGGTATGCACTTCCATCACTAACAGGTTTCAAAGTCTTTTCCAGCAGTTCACCCACCACACGGTTTAATGCTTCTGGAGACCCTGCATTGGAACTGGGTGAAGAGAACATAGCTTGAAGATAGATCAGAGACAGACTTTCCTTCCTGTACTAACAGCTTTGACAGTTTCTCAGCAAACCCAGCAGGCGGTGACTCAGATATTTTTGCTGCAACCATTTTCCAAGGCTTCCCACCTCCTTCAGGTATTACTTCTACAGGTAGGCGAGAAGGATCAACCACTTGTTTGCTCTCACACAGCACAAGTATAAACCTTGGTGTTGGCCCTTCTTTATAATCCCTGACTCTCACTCTTCCCAAAGCTTTAACTGCTTGGACAGTTTGCTCAATTTGTGCCACCTCCAAACCTGCAGGCACTTCCAACAGTAACACTGCATGTTTCTGATCAACTATTGCTTTCTGACACCATTCATCCAGTTCCGTTTGTAAGACAGAATCGTCAGCATCCATTTTCTCCTGACTCACATGAACACCAGCTTTCCTGCAAGCAGAATATTCTTTTTGCACTGACTTTCAAGCAGTATAACAGCAGGAATCGATCCCGGACGAGCCCCCACTTTATGTAGCGCCCCCTTCAGTCCTAGGTGTATCCACACTTTGGAATTGTTGACGCTAGAACCCAGATTCGTTTAATTGTGTCTCTCGACGTGATTTTACTTAAAATCAAAATGTGACCCTGCTTTTTTATACTACTTCTTACAAAGTGCAACGCTGACCTCTGTAAATTGCTTTCCAAACATATATCTACATATCAGTTATTTTCAAAATGACACGCTATGTAGCAGAAATGTACAATGAATTTATTTAAAAGAAAATAGACAAAAGGAATCAAAGATTAATCGAAATCTGTTCTCTCAACTTATAAATAAGCTTTTATCTTCAAATACAGTGCTTGCTTTGACTTTTTTCCCCTTTCCACAAGATCACACGTCAAGGGTTAAACTTTTACACAAATATCAAAATAAGAGGTTTTTCACTGAATCACTCTTCCAAATTAAACCTCAGTTCTTTTCCCTTCGGAAGTACAAATTTGTCACCAATCAGTGTAAACCAATATATCAGTGTCCTTTGGAAAACGTAAAATATAAATACAGCAAGTAAACAAACTTTAGATTTAGTTAGAAATACCAATGTAACCCTTTACTGACATACTTTCAATGAGTCAGAGTATTAAACCACTATGTGGTTCAAAAATAGAAAAACAGCTTAATGTGGGCCCACCACACTCACTCACACAAACAAACCCCCCGTAGCAGGCCTGAAACGTCGCTGGTGTGCGTTGAGGCCAAGTGAAACCTAAAATGGCCGCTTCGCTCTCAAAGAGCACAAATAAAACAAACAACATGCACCTGAATGAACTTGAAAGAGTTCAAGGATCCCGTCACCCGTCAGATCAGTCCACGTGAGGCGGTGATCGGTCGGCAAACTCCGTGCCAGAGGAACCCCTAACCACTCGGCGATTAGGAGCGCTATCTGGATTTCCTCAATGCAATTCACAGTCGATGCAACAACAGTCTGTGGCAATCACTCTGATCACCTCTAGCTCTCTTACAGTCGCTGATTTAAATGATAAACTTGATTTAAGTTTCTCACCTGTGATTCACGTTAGTCCCGTTTACTGTAATGGCGACAACATCACCTACGCACTTCTTTTTTCAACTCGTCTCTCACACTCCTACCCCCCGCCCCCCTCCCAACTGACATCCTCGGTGGCCAATCACAGTTGTCCTACTTGACATCAGGCGGGATTAAGTCACTTTTCAACCAATAACATTAAATCAAACACAACTTCTTTACACAGACATGTCTGAACAGGTAAATTTTTTATATAAAACAAAATATAGAAACACTTCTGTCACAAGGGAAAAAAATAAGTAAATAAATCAATTTAAATAAATGCTGATATTAATAATAAATTAACCCAGGGTTACAAAAACAAATGATAAAATGATTAGTATAAAAATTATAAAATAGATTCAGATGAAGCGTAGCAGGTACAGTATATATACAGTGGGTACGGAAAGTATTCAGACCCCCTTAAATTTTTCACTCTTTGTTATATTGCAGCCATTTGCTAAAATCACTGAATACTTAGGACCATGTGTTATTTCAGTTTTTCTTTTTTAATAAATCTGCATAAATGTCAACAATTCTGTGTTTTTCTGTCAATATGGGGTGCTGTGTGTACATTAATGAGGAAAAAAAATTAACTTAAATGATTTTAGCAAATGGCTGCAATATAACAAAGAGTGAAAAATTTAAGGGGGTCTGAATACTTTCCGTACCCACTGTAAATTAAAATAAATAGGCTATAAATTAAATCTAAATCCAAAATTATAAAATAATTACATTGCATTTTAATATGGAAAAGTGGGGTTGTTTAAATGGATAGTTCACTCCAAAATCAAGATTACCCCATGATTTACTCACCCTCAAGCCATCCTAGGTGTGTATGAATTTCTTCTTTCAGACGAATACAATCAGGAGTTATTTTAAAAAATGTCCTGGCTCTTCCAAGCTTTATAATGGAAGTGAATGGGTGTTATTAAATAGTCCAAATAGAAGTCCAATAAAGTGCATCCATCCATCATAAAAAGTGCTCCACACGGCTCCGGGGGGTTAATAAAGGCCTTCTGAAGCGAAGCGATGCTTTTGTGTAAAAAAAAAATATATATCCATATTTATAAACCGTAATCTCTAGCCTCCGCTAACTGTCATATGCACGTTCACGAGAGAGTGGCGTTCCAGCGGAGGATGTAGCATAAGCTCCGGTGAGAAGTGATGAACACGGAAGCGAAGAGGAGAGAGCAAAACAAAACATCGATCATGAATTAGAAGTACAAAACGAGGATCTGTAAAGAAAAACATTGGAGGATTTCGATATAAGCCAAGAGGGGACTGGTTTTCCTTTGTTAAACAAAGGAAACTTTGTTTCCTTTGCTCCTGTAAACAAAACTTGGTTCTCACGAGACTAGCATATTCTCACCGAAGCTTACACTACGCCGACGTCATCCGCAGGAATGCCACTCTTTCGTGAAGCTAGAGATTTCTGTTTATAAAGTTTATACTTTAACTTCAGAAGGTCTATTTTAACCCCCGGAGTCATGTGGAGCACTTTTTATGATGGATGGACGCAGTTTTTTGGGCTTCAAAATCTCAACACCCATTCACTGCCATTATAAAGCTTGGAAGAGCCAGGATATTTTTTAATATAACTCTGATTGTATTCGTCTGAAAGAAGAAAGTCATACACACCTAGGATGGCTTGAGGGTGAGTAAATCATGGGGTCATTTTCATTTTTGAGTGAACTCCCTCTTTAAGTTTTTCTGGACCTCTTGTTCAGTTTATTGCTTTTGGGCCTCTTTGAAATCGCGTTCCACTTTACAATTAAACGTTCCGTCGTGCGTTTGTGAACGTTTTAATTGGCAATTGGTATTTGACTAACCTTGAGCAAAGTGAACCGTATAGTTTTTAACAGATTTAAAGAATCTGGCAACCACAGTTCACATAGCAAAGTTCAAAGTGTGCCTAGATTACGCATTTGTGTTGCTGACCGTGTGCAGAACGCTTGTGAACGCTCATTCTGCTGTGGGACTGAACACGGTGTGGCAATGAGAGGCTCTGTCGCGCTTTCACTCTGCGTCCTGATTCAGCTGAGTCTACAAAACACAGTGAAAGCAGAGGACGGTAAGTCACGTTAAAGCCTCGTAATGAGCGAGTTTACTTGCACAACAGTACGCTAACAGTCAAAAACAACTTTCTTATGAACGCAAGAAAACTGCACTTACTCGAGCTGTGAAGCAATCGTGTTTTTCACACGTTTTAACATAAACAGACAAGCGCACATTGGCGAAGCTGTCAAGGGTCAGAACGCAGCGCAGGTAATAAATAGCCTAACAAACGGTAATGGGGCGAAAGTGCACGTAGGTGTGTGTTGATCGGGTTTTGCTATAAAAAACACTGTTAAGGGCGTGTATATGATACATAATCAGTTATTAAACATGATCTATGTCTTTATATATAGGCTATTCATATATAAATTAGATCATAAAACGGCAAGCGTAATTATTAAATTAAATAAATATAAAATGCATAAATAAGTAATATAAGAAAGAAAGTAATGAGTGAAAAATAGTTTCAGATTGAGTATAGCATGTAATGTATAATTTAAAATAAAGTTAGTTTAATATAAAATAAAAATATAGAATAATTAATATAAAAATGTATTACATTTTTTTAGATAAATGATAGCATGTATATAGCATACATATAAATTAAAATAAATTTCATCTAAAATAATGATTATAAAATAGTTTCAGATGAAGTATAGAATGTATAGAACATATAAATACATATGAAATAAATTCACTTAAAAAAATTATTATTTACAAAAATATAAAATGCAATAAAGTAAATACATAAATATTATAAAATAATTAATATAACAGTGTATCAAATAGTTTCAAATGAAGGCTAGCATGTATAGCATATGTAAATGAAAATAAATTATTAAATATGAACTAAATAAAATAATTAGTACAAATAAAATAGCATGTGTAGCATATGTAAAAAGTGATAAAATAATTAGTATAAAATGATAGAGTATAAAATAGCTTCCGTAAAATAGCTTAAATGAATTGCCATAACATTTAAATGTTCAAAGTCTGCTTAAAAATGTGCAGGACAACCAACTTTTTTGTATCTATTTCTGTACTAGTTTAAGTGAAAATGAATAGCAAATCATATTGATGTCAAATCATATGAATATAAAAATTACTTTACTCTCTTTTTTTTATGAATTACACAGGACCTGTCCTGCAAACCAAACTTGGGGCCCTGAAGGGTGAATATGTGAAAGCGAAGGGAAAGGACACAGTTGTGCATTCCTACCTGGGCCTTCCGTTCGCCAAGCCGCCTGTGGGCCCTTTGAGATTTTCTCCTCCCCAGCCTGCAGAGAAATGGGACGGAGTGAGAGACGCTGCAAAACAGCCGTTCATGTGAGAATTAAACCAAACTAATGCACCTGTAGATCAGCCATTTCGCTTCAACACCTCGATTTTACATTGGACACTTGTGTTCCTCTCTGTCTTTCCCAGGTGTCTGCAGGAAAAGCAGTTAATTGAAGACTTGGCAGCCAATGTGTCTATGAATGTTGAGGTTCCTGAGTCATCAGAAGACTGCCTTTACCTCAACATCTACACACCTTCTAAACCTGGAGCAAATGAAAAGTTGCCTGTAAGAGTGACTGATTTGAGTGAACTTTGTTGCATTTTCATGCATATATGTCTAAGTGTTCTAATATTGTTGTTCATGGTGCAATAGGTCATGGTTTGGATTCATGGTGGAGGTTTTTCTTCGTGCTCTGCTTCCATTTTTGACGGACATGTTTTGGCTGCCTATCAGGATGTAGTTGTGGTTCTGATTCAGTATAGACTTGGCCTACTTGGATTTTTCAGGTAAAAACAAATCGTTACCAACATAAAGGTCCAACAAAACCCAAAATAGTTTATTTATTCAATAAATCAATTCTGATAATTAGGTTGGCTTGAGAAAGCCAACCTACTGATCTGCTACTTAAGCTTATTATTCTTCTTAGACTAAATTTCTGAATGCTCCTCCTCCTAGAGCTTTCAAGCTAGAACCACTAAACTCAGCCCAGCTCTTCTGACTGATCTGACTTAGTGTGCTTTTTTTCTTTTCAGACTGATCCGATTTATGGTTTTCATAAAACTGAAGATTAAAAATCATAAAAATCCCATAGACTTACATTGATGGAAATATAAAATGCAATAAAGTAAATACATAAATATTATAAAATAATTAATATAACAGTGTATCAAATAGTTTCAAATGAAGGCTAGCATGTATAGCATATGTAAATGAAAATAAATTATTAAATATGAACTAAATAAAATAATTAGTACAAATAAAATAGCATGTGTAGCATATGTAAAAAGTGATAAAATAATTAGTATAAAATGATAGAGTATAAAATAGCTTCCGTAAAATAGCTTAAATGAATTGCCATAACATTTAAATGTTCAAAGTCTGCTTAAAAATGTGCAGGACAACCAACTTTTTTGTATCTATTTCTGTACTAGTTTAAGTGAAAATGAATAGCAAATCATATTGATGTCAAATCATATGAATATAAAAATTACTTTACTCTCTTTTTTTTATGAATTACACAGGACCTGTCCTGCAAACCAAACTTGGGGCCCTGAAGGGTGAATATGTGAAAGCGAAGGGAAAGGACACAGTTGTGCATTCCTACCTGGGCCTTCCGTTCGCCAAGCCGCCTGTGGGCCCTTTGAGATTTTCTCCTCCCCAGCCTGCAGAGAAATGGGACGGAGTGAGAGACGCTGCAAAACAGCCGTTCATGTGAGAATTAAACCAAACTAATGCACCTGTAGATCAGCCATTTCGCTTCAACACCTCGATTTTACATTGGACACTTGTGTTCCTCTCTGTCTTTCCCAGGTGTCTGCAGGAAAAGCAGTTAATTGAAGACTTGGCAGCCAATGTGTCTATGAATGTTGAGGTTCCTGAGTCATCAGAAGACTGCCTTTACCTCAACATCTACACACCTTCTAAACCTGGAGCAAATGAAAAGTTGCCTGTAAGAGTGACTGATTTGAGTGAACTTTGTTGCATTTTCATGCATATATGTCTAAGTGTTCTAATATTGTTGTTCATGGTGCAATAGGTCATGGTTTGGATTCATGGTGGAGGTTTTTCTTCGTGCTCTGCTTCCATTTTTGACGGACATGTTTTGGCTGCCTATCAGGATGTAGTTGTGGTTCTGATTCAGTATAGACTTGGCCTACTTGGATTTTTCAGGTAAAAACAAATCGTTACCAACATAAAGGTCCAACAAAACCCAAAATAGTTTATTTATTCAATAAATCAATTCTGATAATTAGGTTGGCTTGAGAAAGCCAACCTACTGATCTGCTACTTAAGCTTATTATTCTTCTTAGACTAAATTTCTGAATGCTCCTCCTCCTAGAGCTTTCAAGCTAGAACCACTAAACTCAGCCCAGCTCTTCTGACTGATCTGACTTAGTGTGCTTTTTTTCTTTTCAGACTGATCCGATTTATGGTTTTCATAAAACTGAAGATTAAAAATCATAAAAATCCCATAGACTTACATTGATGGAATGTTCAGATGAGCCAAGACTATTCAAACTCCAACTGTCAAAATTCTAATCTAAACAAACTGAAGCCCATAAGACTCAATCAAGCTTCCCTTCTATGTACTATTTCTAATCAATTCAAACTCATCTATCTAATATTTCTTATCTATCTTTCTATCTATCTATCCTAGCGACATGCTAATCATACTAACACGAAACAAACTAACAACATGCTAGTAACTTGCTAATCATGCTAGAAACATGTTAGTCACCTGCTAATCATGCTAGCAACATGCTAGTAGCATGCTAATCATGTCAGCAATATGCTAGTAACAGGCTAATCATGCTTAAAACATGCTAATCTATCTAAATTTTCCAACTTCAGGCTTTTACAACTGCTTTAAACTTTCAGGCTAGGCTTTCTCAAGCCAACCTAAAGTTTGTCTTGACGAAACTTTTTTATCTAGTTCCAAATAATATCCCTTATTAGCCTTTTTCTCTTTGTAAACCCGTCCAGGTATTTCCAGGTATTAGAGTAACTGAACAATAACATATCAAACATTATTAAGGTTTAGATTTGGTTTCCATTCATCAGGCCATGTGTTTTTGGACTTTAAACTTACATGTAATCTGTTTGAATGGCCATAAAGTCCTATTAGTTCATGTTTTTGATGCTTCAGAATATCTGATTAGTGATTGAAACAGTGGCGTTGAGGCCTAAGGTCTCTGATGAGGTTGTCTGATGATCTTCTGCCTTTCAGCACGGGAGATGAACATGCGCCAGGAAACTATGGTCTTCTGGATCAGGTAGCTGCTCTTCAGTGGGTTCAGGAGAACATTCACAGCTTCGGTGGAGATCCTGGATCCGTGACCATCTTTGGAGAGTCTGCCGGAGGAGTCAGTGTGTCTTTACATGTAAGGATTTATAATAAAAACATATATATATATATATATATATTCTGTGCAGCAAATTAGCTCAATGTGCATAAATAATTACAATTCATTATAATTAATTACAAGTATTTAAATCAACTGCCAGAAGTAACTGTAGCAGAATTCATATTACAATCAAATAATCTGTTCGTTTGGAGAGTCTGCCGGAGGAGTCAGTGTGTCTTTACATGTAAGGATTTATAATAAAAACATATATATATATTTTCTGTGCAGCAAATTAGCTCAATGTGCATAAATAATTACAATTCATTATAATTAATTACAAGTATTTAAATCAACTGCCAGAAGTAACTGTAGCAGAATTCATATTACAATCAAATAATCTGTTCATCCAGTGAACATTCAGTGTAATTTTATATCAACTCTAAGAAATTTTATTTTCGTGGCCACTGAAAATAACTTTCTTACAATACTACTGCATTAGAGCATGTAGCAAGATCAGGAATCGTTTAGGTGACATTGATCTGCAAGCAGTTACAGAATCAAATACTCATGTAATTTGTGCACAAACGTTTTATTAACTAAACACTAACACATAACTAGTCTAACAAACATATACACACACTCATGCATACATACTGTACATACATGGGCGAAAGGGGAGTAGAATTGAGTGAATGAAACCGTTAGAGAAACAGGGAATAAAGCTATGGAAAGAACTCAGTTAACCACTTGAGTGAAACATCAGCGCCGTTTTCCAGCGGGGTCTCCAGCTTCTACTAAACCTCTGTTTCGTTTGGTTAGATGTACGATACTTGCTTTGCCTTGGCCTGGCCGTTGAACGAGCGTCCAGATGCAGTCTCCGATGAAAGTGTTGATGGTTCGAAGGTTCGATGGTGTTGGAATTGCGATCCCGTTCTTCTGGGTTTGAAGAGTGATGAACTCCAAAGATTATTCTGATTCAGGGGTGGTCGGGCGAGTTTTCTCCCCGGTGGAAAGTTGCAACATGGCTGGTCCTGTCGGTGCAGGTGAGGTCCCGCGGTGTCGCGGTGGGACTGGATGTCCAAGAGGCAAAGAGTAAGAGCAGTGCAGAAGAAGAGAGAGAGCAGGTCACGGAGGTGAGGCCTTTTAACTTCTGGCAAGGTCACACCTCCAGGGGGTCAGTGAACCAATGGTTACTAAAACTTTTGGAGGGAAAGTGTACAGCTCTTTGTTTGAAAGCTGGCTCATTTGCATGATCAGAGTGGGCAGGCAGTTTTATGTCCCTTTATACTCAGATTAATATTACAAGCATATAATGCATGTTATGAGGAGGTGGTATGCACCAATGTGTAGGGCATTAAATGAGGATTAATCTGATAGGAAGCATGATACCAATAAGGTTACATTATCTAGGGGTTCAATCATAAACCATGCATAAAACAGTATACTGTACAAAATACACTACACTCTAAAAAATGCTGGGTTGTTTCAACCCAACGTTGGGTCAAATATGGACTACCCCAACTGTTGGGTTAAATTTTTACATTCAATTTTTAACCCAAAAGTTGGGTTAGTCCATATTTGACCCAAAGTTGGGTTGAAACAACCCAGCGTTTTTTAGAGTGTATACAAGACAGTAATAACCATACACACATGCATGTCCTGGAGATATGCATGTTCATACATATAGGTTTTTTATGAACGAATGGGGAAGAGTCCCATTTGATGGGCATTATGTTTCTTTCCTATGGGGAAATACAGTGAGAGTTGCTCTGCCCACATTAAAATTGAGCCATAAAAGCTATGTTATCTGGCTGAGGTGTCCTGGCTGCCATGGTAACCCGGTCCGATTGTTGGGTGAGGGGTTTGTTGGATTATTTGTTAAATATAACAAATAATAATGTGTCTGATTTGTCCAACTGTTACATCTGTAATCTTGGCTTTTTTGACAAGTTAATTTTAAGTTTTAATTTAATGACACTAAAAATGTCACGCTGTGTATTATAGTATTTATTAATATTTTGATTTAGCATTTATTTTGATATTTTAAGTAGTTCGTTATGTGCTATTGCCATTTTTATTAGTTTTTTAATTAGTTTCTATTTAGATTTTTTATTTACTTTGACTTAAACTTATTTAATTTCAGTTATTTGCCAGGGCTACATTTCTAATTTTCATTAAAAAATGTTTTAAGTTTAATCATCTAGTATTTATATTTTATTTCATTTTAGCTTTATTTCAGTTAACGTTTTACTTTTTTTATATATATTTTTATATTTGATATATCATCATATTTTGCTTACACCTGAATATATGTGAGTGCACACATTTTATTCATCATTTTCAAAAATGCGATATATCTTTTACAGTAAATAGTATTTTATATTAAATATTATATATCTATATCATGAATAAATATCATTTCCTGTTTTATTTTAATTTCCTGACTTGGCGGACATCAGCAGAATTGTCAAATATTTGCAATATTTTTGGACTTCTTAAAAAGAAAAAAAAAAGATTGTTAAATTACTTAAGGTATTTTCAAAATAATGATTCATTTAATGAAGCATTTTCCTCATTATGATATTAATTTGAATTCCGAAAGTAAAAACACGTTGAAGAGTTTTGTTTAAGTATTTTTCAGGCAAAAAACGAGCATGATGTAATTAACCCAAAAACATATATATATATTTTTTCATAGGTTCTTTCTCCATTATCGGCAAACCTCTTCCATCATGCCATCGCAGAGAGCGGTACGGCAGCAATGGATTCTATACTGAATCCCAACCCTCTGGCATTAGCTCAGGTCAATTACATCAGCAGAATTGTCAAATATTTGCAATATTTTTGGACTTCTTAAAAAGAAAAAAAAAAGATTGTTAAATTACTTAAGGTATTTTCAAAATAATGATTCATTTAATGAAGCATTTTCCTCATTATGATATTAATTTGAATTCCGAAAGTAAAAACACGTTGAAGAGTTTTGTTTAAGTATTTTTCAGGCAAAAAACGAGCATGATGTAATTAACCCAAAAACATATATATATTTTTTCATAGGTTCTTTCTCCATTATCGGCAAACCTCTTCCATCATGCCATCGCAGAGAGCGGTACGGCAGCAATGGATTCTATACTGAATCCCAACCCTCTGGCATTAGCTCAGGTCAATTAATCCTGCTCTTTTCTCAAGGAACCTCTATTCTATAATGAAAATGAAATACATTTAATGTAAATATCACACTTTTCTCTCTAGGCTGTTGGAAATGTATCTGGCTGTGATATTTCCAGCACAAAGAAGATTGTTGACTGTGTGATGCAGCTGACAGAAGAGGATATACTGAAGATCGCTATGGTCTGTCCACGTACTGGATTGTGTCATAGAATCTATGTGAACATTCAATTCAATCTGTGACAAATATATGCAAACAGTCCTCCTGTGTATTAAATGGTGTGTTTGCAAATGGTTGCCTTTTAATACAGGAGCATCCAATGGTTCGTTTTGGAGTGACGATGGATGGCCAGTTCATTCCCAAACCTGTAGTAGAGCTTCTTCAATCCCACGAGTTTAACAAAGTGCCTCTGATCACCGGAATCACTGATGATGAGTGGGGATATGTGATGCCTAACGTAAACACTTTTTCACTTTTAAAATCTGTAAAGATATAATATTTGTTTTTCCAAAAATGAGAACTTCAGTCAAAATTTTACAGCACATTCATATGTGGCAAATGCTTTTCCATAGTTCTTTTCACCTCCAGGATGGACAGATGGGATGGACATGGAGCAGATCTTGCCTTTTTTGACCATGTTTAATCCTACTGTAAGACAGACTACGTTTATTTTCAATTTGACGTTTTTATTTGCATAAAAAAGATATTAAAGGTATGATATTTCTGTTCTGTTTTTCTCCCCTTTAGCTTCAAGATCAGTTAGTTGCTGAGCTTGTTTTGAATGAGTATTTGGGCACATCTCCTGACAGGACCAAAATCCGAGATGGTTTTCGAGAGATAATGGGGGACTTTATGTTCAACATCCCAGCTCGTAAACTGGCGAATTACCACAGAGGTGAGAATTTGTTCAATGGGCTGTAGAAGTATGACTGTTTATTTTGTAGAAGGCTGTTTCAGTGATACTCAAAAATAATTAGCAATTTTTCCCTTAATAGATGCTGGTGCACCAGTATACGTGTATGAATTCCAGCATCCTCCCAGTATACTTCAAAAGAAAAGACCCAGTTTTGTTGGAAGTGACCATACAGATGAAATTGCATTTGTTTTTGGTTCTTGCTTTGCAGATGGACATATAAAGCTGAAAGGTACAACCCAAATAATATTAGGAAACAAAACAACAAAATACACAACCTAAAGGTGTGTTTTTCAGCGAAATTTTGCAGACAAAAAAGTCTATTGTCTATTATCAGTAGTGTAGTGATGTATGAAGCACAGCTCACATACAATTCACTTTCAAATCAAACAGCTTTCTGTTGATCACCTCAGCGAACTCGCATGACCAATTTGAACCTGTTGTGAAATCTGTAGGGGGAAATATTTCACCCTTATAAAAAGTTTCCAATCGAGCAGATTTCTATTGAAATGACTCCATTTCGACTACAAACGACAGTAAGATGTAGAAAGAGGATGAAAGATTTCCCCACGCAGATTTCGCATCTTGTGACCGCATCTTAAGATCTCAAAGTTTCATTGATATATTTAATCACAGCTGGATTATATAGATAGTGGCAATCAATACAGTGTCTCTCTTAGGTTTTCTGTTTGACGTCTTTCTTCCTGCTTTAATTCAGAGGAACTCTCAGAAGAAGAGAATGAACTTTGTAGAACTGTCATGGCTTACTGGGGAAACTTTGCTCGCACTGGGTAAGTGATACTTACCATAAAGTCGATATTTTTGGGTGATAAAGTAAAAAATGTTAAGGTGATACAACTGGCCCGATAACATGATGAAGAAAAAACCTCTGAGAAATTATTAAAATGAAAATGTTAAGTATTTTGGCATGAACTTGATGACTATTTCTTAGAAAATGGAATAAGCTGCGAATCAGCTTCGTTAAAACATCATAACCATTTGAAAACTTTTGTCTGCTTAATCAAATCATGTGGTGTGACCAACATGTAGGGGGAAAATAACATAAAACAGGAAGTGATATCATAGAGAGACCTTCTGCAGACCCTCATGTCTGTGTGTCAAAATCAATAAGTCCCGTAAAATATCAGATCATTTGGCAATGCAGATTAATTCAGGGCATTAATGTCATTTGCGCCAAAGACTCTCGGAAAAAGTCATGACATTAATGAATTAATACCTTTTTCAGAATATTTAATAACATTTTATTTAAAATATATTTCGAACTTAAGATCACTCACATGCATTCAGGTTTATCTGATTTTATTACTATATTGTTATTTATAACTAAAATAAATGGACTATTCTCTTTATTATTAGTGTTTTTATTACCTTAAATTATATGTATGTCTGCACTATGTTTGTACTGGAAGCTCCTGACACCAAGACATTCCTGACACACACATTCTTGTGTGTGTAAACACACTTGGCAATAAGGCTCTTTCTGATTCTTATTCTGGTGGTTACACCACATGACATTTTTAGTGCCATTTAGTTGAAAATTTTCTTGAAAATGGTGTAAAAGTTTTCCAAACCAAGTTAATTCAGGTTGTAAAATGTTGTATGATGCGACTCTCCAAAAACACTGTCATTTATCAATTAATAATTTATATAATTTTCACATAATATTAAATCAAATTTTATTTAAAAATGTTAAATTATATTTAAATATATTTATATATTTAAAACTTTAAAACAAGATCACTCATGTATTTTGGTGTACGAAAAATTACTTTTTACTTGATAGTTACACCATATGACATATTTGAATCATTTAATCGAAAACTTCTTTGAAAGTGGTATAAAAGTTTTCCAAACCAAATAACGTCTCGGGTTACACATGTAACCATGGTTCCCCAAGAGGGAACGAGACACTGTGTCTTCTAGTGGACACTATGGGAAATGGAATACCCACTATGCCATGCCTCGGTGCATGCATGACCACCTGGTGAGAGAGCACCAAAAAATAGCAGTAAACGTGCACCGATTTTAAAGGGGCACACCAACAATGCCTGGAGCTAAAATAACTTGGGCTTAGCGCTTCCTGTCAATCACCTCTCTGAAGTCTCCCCTCCTCTTCTTAGCATCATGCTTCCTCTGTGCTCGACTCCGGGAAGGGGGAGGAGCACGAGTGGCAACACTAATGTTCTGGTCCTGTCTCCAGTGGGTTACGCTGTCGCCTCCCTAAACTTCTTGACCACTGCCTCAACAGATGTGCCGAAAAGCCCAGAAGGTGAAATCAGAGTATCAAGAAGAAAGTTTTTCTTTTTCTTCCCAATGCAGTTTGCTTAGTGGCACGGAGAGCTAAATCCAAATAAATTCAGACACAAGGTGATCTTAAGCAGACTGGATGGCAGGACAGGAGCCTTCAACAAAGATGACTCGCCCTGGGAGAGATAATAGCATAATCTGCATGTTGGAAAAGATGCAGCTGAACTGAATATGGTTTCGCCCACAATCTCTCAAGCTCGGCATGGAGATCAGGAGAAAGGGAAGGCTGATTATGCCTCTTTGCAGCGTGAGCCATAACCTCCAACATTTGCGGAGCTTCCTCATCGAGAATTTGGCACAATGAGTGCATTTAGTGCTCTCAAACCCTGAACACGCATGCTCCTCACCGAGACACATAACGCAAAGGTCATGTGTATCCTCAGGTGTCAGAAATCTCAGACACGGAGGCACACATTTCCTAAAACGCTCACTTGACTTCTTGCTTCCATAGTGCTTCAAACACGCTGAACAAACAAACGGCTCCTGAAGACAAAAAAGCTGATGACGTGCATTACAGGCGCACTCTTCTACCTCCGGGCACCCAGCTAATGATGTCACAAGCTGCGTGGTCCAATGAATTTGGAAGTGTTTTCACACATGCTTCAGACACCGGTCATGCTGATGGCATTCCCCAAAGTGTCTCCTAGGGGACGCAGTGTGGAGTTCCCAATTGAAGGGAAAATTTTAAAAATGTCATGTGGTGCGAATCTCCAAATATGTCCTGACATTTAGAAATTAATAATTTACATTTTTATAATTTTTATTTTCATTTAGTCATTGAACTGAATTTTTTCTTGAAAATGGTATCAAAAATTTTCCAAACCATATGAACCCAACATGAATACAAAGAGTACATTTCTAAGAATTTGGCACATGCATTTCAAACTAGATTTTTTTAAAACATCTTTCCTGGCGCCAGGTCTCCGAATGGTCCGGGCCTCACAGAGTGGCCTGAATTTGGAGCTGAGGCTGAGTATCTCAGCATTGGGCTGGAACAGAAACCTGGGAAAGACCTGAAGGGAAAACACTTCACTTTCATGACTCAAACCCTTCCGCAGATAATAAAAGAGTGGAAGGAAGGCAAGTTATCAATTTCAGAATTGGTGTAAAATTAAAAGTGTTTAATAAAGTTAAATTGGATCTTTATGTTATATTATTGGCCTATTTGACAGGACCTGTAGTTCAAACAAAATTAGGATCTCTGAGAGGTGCCTTCCTGACTGTGAAGGGCAAGGACACAATCGTCAACAGCTATTTAGGTGTACCGTTTGCCAAGCCCCCTGTGGGCCCCCTGAGACTGGTTCGGCCCCAGCCTGCAGAGAAATGGGACGGAGTGAGAGATGCGACCAAACAGCCACCCATGTAAGATGCCACACAACCGCATTTCAATTCAAACATGTTTAGTTATACATTTGCATGATCTAATGCCACTGTGATTTCTTTAGGTGCATACAGGACAGGCAAAGTAGTGTCATTGAACTTTTGTTTCTCGCTATGGATGTGGAGATTCCCGAGGTCTCAGAGGACTGCTTGTATCTCAACATCTACACTCCAGTCAAACCTGGTGAAGATGCCAAGCTACCAGTAGGTTCATCAGCAAACATCTATGAATGTGCTCATAGAAACTGTGTGGAGAATGTTTCCTTGTGTTTTCTAGGTGATGGTTTGGATTCATGGTGGAGGACTTTCTCTTGGTTCAGCTTCAGTGTACGATGGCTCCGTTCTGTCGGCGTATCATGATGTGGTTGTGGTGCTGATTCAGTACAGATTGGGTCTGCTGGGATTCTTTAGGTAGGTGCCGCAAATTATTTCACAGCTGCGTTTACCCTTGATCATAGCATTTTAATGAAGCAGAAAGATTACTGTTCATAATAATCAATAATTCAATTTGTGTTTGGTTCAGTTCTTGACCAGTTTTTTTTTGTAAAGAAACAACCTTTTTCTCATTATGTATTCGTAATTGAAATCTAATTAAATTCTGTAATCGATATATAGAATATTTATCCTACATTAATATATCAATACAAAGTTAATCAGTTAACTTCTAATCTCCCGGTTTCACAGACAAGGCTTAAACCTAGTCCCAGACTAAAATGTAAGTCTGAGCTGTTTCAACTGAAAGAAACTTGCACGGATTGATCTTAAAATATTTCAGTGCCCTTGTTTTGTCTCAAGATGCACACCAGTAATTTTTTTTTTTAAGTAAGTCCTTTTTTCTGTATTTAATTACAGATTCAGATTAAAGATTCCTTTTCTTTTTGTAGCACGGGAGATGAACATGCGCCAGGAAACTATGGTCTTCTGGATCAGGTAGCTGCTCTTCAGTGGGTTCAGGAGAACATTCACAGCTTCGGTGGAGATCCTGGATCCGTGACCATCTTTGGAGAGTCTGCCGGAGGAATAAGCGTATCCACGCTGGTATGGGTCTTTATTTATAGCATAGTACTGTAGAAACCATTACTCAGCCTTCATTACTGTAAAATATTTGTTTTGAGTGATCGAGTCACTTTCGGTGTCATTGTGTCTTCAAGATACTTTCCCCATTGGCTTCTGGTCTGTTTCATCGTGCCATTGCAGAGAGCGGGACGGCCTTTTGGGATGGTCTAGTGATGGGTAATCCTTTACTGAGGGCTCAGGTATCATTTCATATTCTTCTTATATTTTCATCTTTTTAGTTGTATTAAATGCAGCTATTATTAAACAAGTTCTCATGTTGATTTCATGGCATTTCAGAACGCAGCCAAATTATGCAACTGCGACAGCAGCAGCTCATCGAAGATCGTCGACTGCATCATGCGCTGGTCTGAGGAGGAAGTTCTGGAATGTTCCAATCAGGTGTGACATTTAAAATCATAATACACGTAAAGCAGCAAGATCCCTGAAGTACATTTTAGCACAAGTACTTATCAGAGAAATAATAAACGATGTGTGATACTTTATATTACGAGCGTTTATTTGACTCTTTATGATGAATCACTTGTTGTATTCCTCATTTGGATAAAAGCGTCTCCTAAATGAAAACAAAAAATGTAATATACTTCAAAATAAGTATGAACTGATTTAAATGCATGTTAATTACAATTAAATGATAATATATTATAATTTAATTTTTTATTAAATGCAATTATTTGAACTTAAAAGTGCTTTTTGATCCACTTAAGTGTGACTTCAATACATCTTTGTTTAATTTCATAATTATTTCTGTTGTCTTTAAAATATGTATAAAGTGTACTGCCGAATATTTCATCAAACATTTGGAATATACTTTAATGTAATTTTAATGAAACTTGTATGTCTTTTTTTTATATATATATATTTGTAATTGTAGTTTTGTAATATATATAAAATATACTTAATAATAAAGTTAAAATAATAAAGTACTTTACATATGGTTTAGTTTATGTTAGTCAACACACCAAAATAAGTGTTGTGCTTTAAAAGATGATTAAAACAGTCATTTAAAATATATTTTAAAGTAAAACTTTTAATTTGACATTATTACAAAGTGCATGTTTTAAAAGTGTACTTAAAGGGACCCAAAAAAGGATCATTCTGTCATTATTTACTAAGTTGTGCCAAACTTTAACCCACAAAAGAAGATAGTTTGATGAATGTTGGTAACCAAACAGTTAACGGTAGCCATTGACTTCTATATTATTATTATTATTTTTTTTCTTCCATACTATGGAAGTCAATGGCTACAGTCAACTGGATACCAACATTTTTCCGAGTATCTACTTTTATGCTCTGCAGAAAAAATAAACTCATACAGGTTTGGAAAAACTTGAGGGTAAGTAAATGATGACAGGATTATCATTTCGGGGTGATCAGTCCCTTTAAGAACAGTTTAAAAACAGTTTTTACTTTTATTTCATTTGTATTATATTATCTGCCAGTACTGTAGTTTTTGTTTTTTGAAACATTCAATACAATTAAGCACACTTCTTTTTCACAAGGGATGATATGCTTCAGTATGTAATCATATAAAATAAAGTATATGATAAGAGCAGTGTTCGAACTATACCGTGGACTTTGGGGGAGCCCACTTGTTTTTTTTATTAGGGGGGGGGGCGCTTGCGCATGCCTCAAAAGAGGGCTTACAATGTCTTGCAAAGATACATAACAGCTACAAGTGTATGCACTACTTGCTTTATGCAAGCGCTATACAGGATTTACCCTGTTATACTTTATCGACACGAATTGATAGGTGAAACGACAAACAGCCACCCACAAATAGTCTATAAGCAAAGCATCAGGCTGTCTTTGAGTTCACATGAACAACGGTTAAAGTTACTCGTCGTCAGGCTACAAAAGAATACCATAATTCCTCCGTTCAATTAGGCCTAAGACATCGAGAGTCACGCAGACCTATAACAACCCAGCCACAACACATAATTGCGAATAACATGCCTTACCTTAACACAGAATCGACCCCAGAGTCCAACGTTTATATTTTTTCTACGAATCTTTGAGTTAACATGTACTAAACATGAGTGAAATTTGCACCGCAGCGCCCCCACACCTTGATGCTCATGACAACAATAGCATGTATAGTTATCCTTATTGAAGTGAATTAGGTTTAAATCGCCGTCATGCATGAATGAATGATATTTTTGCAATTTTACACATAATAATCCAC